GCCATCACACCATAAGCCGGTGCCAAACCTCCTCCGTTTCATCCTATCGCACACTTTCGCGGCCGTGGAGTTTCTACCTGCACAGCTCCTGGGGCCTGCAATCACCCTGAAGCCCTTCTCGAGTCGTGTCGAAACCGATACGTCAAACCTCAGAACTGCAACTTCCAAACATCACCCAGGAAGTCTTTGGACCATGAAAGTTTGGAGCTCCTGTGCACGTGTTGGCCTGAGTGAGTGGGCTGTCGGGTGTTCATCTAGTCTTCAATTAAGTGTTTGCTGGTAAGCAAGTACATACTGTACATACTGTACGTTTACGCGCATAATTAGTAACTGCACTTGCATACTTGCACAGATTTCGGGCACAACATACTCACGCTTCAACCTCACAAGCCCGCTCCCCTGGCCTGGCCTCTTCTTCAGCAGGGGCACGCAGCCCTGGCAGAGCTTGAGTGGCCGCCTCTGGCTCGGGGCTCGGGAGTGAAGCCTAAAATGGCCCTTTGCTCTGCTCCGTGGCTCCCGGCTCCCGGTCCAAGAGCCCCGATTTCAACAAAAAACGATCCGCAACATGAGGCTGAGAGTTTAGAACCTCTAGGCTCGGGGAACAGCCTCAGGCGTAAATCCAGGTTTTCTCCGACTCCGGCCCAGTGACTTTGCTGCCGAAGGCCCAGGAAGGCTAGGGAGCATCACCACGCAGTCCCAGCAGCAAAGCTGCCGGCCTTTCGGGTTCTTGGGGGGTCGTCCAGCCAACTGAAGCTGCAAAATTCAGAGCAGGATTGCGCAAGCCATAGGATGAGTGCGATGACGGTGCTAGTGATGATGAGATAAGCGGGTGATGATGAAGAAGATGGTGATGTTGTCTTCGGTGATAGTGGTCCGACGTTCGCCCTTTGTCCGTGGGTGAGGCCTGTCAGAACTTGATGATCATGATTGTCGTGTTGTTGTTAGTGATGCGGCAATCGAAATGATCACCCCTATTTGCAGTTCCTGCTGGTTCCCCCCCCCCTTTGGCCCTCGGGCCTGGATCCCAAACCTTGGCTCCAGAATCTCAAGGCCATATGAAACCCCCCTCAACCCTGAATAAACCGGACCCTGAAGCCAGAAACCCCGGCGGGAGAGGTGTGGCTCAAAATCTCGGGCTCTCGGGTGTAAACTCGAATCGCTGTGGGCTCTGGGAGAAACAAGTCTGTATGGAGTTTAGCTAAACTGACCTAAGCCCCAAGGCAGTAGTCCCACGCAACAATGCAGAAGCCAAGCTGCACTCCGAGCAATCGTACATAGTGGCGCGAATGCATTCTTTCGCACAGTGCACGCCTCACGTGGTGCTTGGTGGCTCCCTATGCCTTGAAGCCTGAACAGTAAACCCAAGGGGCACCAAGCACACTCCGGACGTGAGGTCTTCAGGACGTGTTGTCGCGCACTCTGTGTTTCGTGCGGGGGTTTCAGAAACACCTTACACCGAGACTCGTGATCGTCAAGCCTCATCCTGTGCCCTCCTTACCCCGACGAGCGGCAGCCCTCATACTCCATCCGACTTAGCATCCGAATGTAAGGCTCGAAATCCAAATCCAAACTGTGGGCTTTTTTGGTTACTCCATAGAGTGCGGAAGATTCTGCGAGTGCTTAAAACCTGCTGCAGCACCTGCAAAGCGCGGGTGCTTCCGATGCCCGACTAGAGTTGCTTGAAGGCTTTGGGCTGACAGATGAGTGCCAAATGAGTACAGTAAGTTTGGACGACCGGTTTTTGCTTCCGGGTTTAGCGTCTAAGTGTACACTTTGTAGTTATATGCGAGCTCCTGGACGACCAAGGAACCCCATCAGAACGGATCTCACCTCTTTCATGCAGGCTTTTTCTGAATCATAAACCCCATCGAGCATCCTAGGTACTACAGACCGGAATGACTGCAAAAGAGCCAGGTAGCATTGCCGCTTCGTGGTGTCCTGAAACGCCGATGTTGAGCCAGAACAGGGTTTGGGCTTGAATAAGCACTACGGTTCTTGTAAACCCTCGGCCATCAACCCGGGCATTCGCCGTTACGGTGTTTTCGTTTTACTGAAGTCTCCATCAAGGCGTAGATCGTCCACCTGCCTCTCCCATCCAGCAAACCTGGCAGAATCATGTCATAAACGTTGCTGAGTATGAACTGTTGCCGTCATGTCGCCACCGCTGCAGCAGTAGCAGTGCAGTCGTAGTTGTTGAAGTAGCAGTAGCAGTAGCAGTAGCAGTAGCAGGTAGCAGGTAGCAGGTAGCAGGTAGCAGGTAGCAGGTAGCAGGTAGCAGTAGTAGTAGTAGTAGTAGTAGTAGTAGTAGTAGTAGTAGTAGTAGTAGTAGTAGTAGTAGTAGTAGTAGTAGTAGTAGTAGTAGTAGTAGTAGTAGTAGTAGTAGTAGTAGTAGTAGTAGTAGTACAGTAGTAGTAGTAGTAGTAGTAGTAGTAGTAGTAGTAGTAGTAGTAGTAGTAGTAGTAGTAGTAGTAGTAGTAGTAGTAGTAGTAGTAGTAGTAGT